AGACGAAAGTTTTTTGTATTAGAAAATTTTCCAGAGGAATCATGAACGAATTATTGAAATATATAAAATTGCATTATACCTGTACAACCTATACACAAATAAATTGTAACTTGTAATATTGTTCGTGGCTACGAAATAAATTTACCTTTAACAAATTATAAAATAACAGCATTATACAAGCTACAAATAAATTGTAATTACCACTCTCGCTAATAATAACGAGCCGGGATAGCGGTTGTTGCGATATCGAGCAATGCAATTAGAAGAAAAAGATATTACGAGAAAATTACAAAGTTGTACGTGAAATTGAAAATAATCTTATCCTGCAGATATATATTTTTATCCACTCCTAACCTCCTCTTCCTAGCCACCCTTTTATACGGTATAAAATTTACGATACACAAACGTCGAATCTTTATTCCCTCGTGATCCCACCTCATGTTATCCACCATTTCACGGACATGTTCCGCATCGAAAAGTTTACTACTTAAACTTTTGCAAACATCGTCTCGATTCGTCCCACTTCGCCGATTCTTCAAAATCGGATCTGACGTCGGGGCCATGAATCTTAATGGAACTGTATCAAAGGATTTACATGGATACAGACAAACTCTTGGGCAAACCTTCTCGTGGCGTATCGATGTTAACGTTTATACGAATATCGTGGTAACGCCGTTTATCTTCCTTCACTTCGATTTGAATATTGTATGAATTTCGAATAGCGAAGAAATCGAGTTAGGCCGAGTATATTTTTATATATAGGAGAGTTGCAGAGATATAGTTTTGATTGAGATTACAAATTTTCCATCCAGCTTTTTATATGATTTCAATTGATATCTCGTTCGTCTTGATAGTGTCCTTGCTATCTTTTCTTAGGGAGATTTATAATTGAATAGAGACAGTTCACTTTAATGATTGCCATTGAACTCATCGATTGCATCCACGTTACGATTCTTTCGCGAATCACTGTTGAAAGGAAATGTAATATATTGGTAATTGTGTATATTCTTTTATAAGGTAGTCCATTGAATTGGATCAAAGATATACCTTTAAAAGGACGTACAAAGAATGTATGAATGTAAAGGGGAAAATATTATAAAGAATAATTTAAAAAGAATGGATTTGAACAAAAGTTGAAACGTTAAGTTAAAAAAAATTCTATCCATATTGAATACATTAAGTAACTTTGTACCATTCTAACATAATGCAATCGTGATATGCTTTATATCTTTATATTATAAATAAATTTTAAATTAAAGTAATATCAAACGCCTACATGTTCCTTCCTCTCGATATAGATATAACTGCATTAATTCTTCGTCATTTTATTACTTCTATAAAATCTACTTTACTTCGACGCTTTTTACATTTTTACGATGTTTTACATTTTTTTTTTTCCATCCATTTTCTTTTCGCCCCTTTAATTTTCCTGTATCATTATAAAATTATTCCTCGAATGAAACTACCCTAACCCCTTAACCTTTCTCTTTATCACATGAAACTATTTCTAACCTTTCCCCTTCGACAATCTCTTTTACGATGAAAGTCACGAAAAATTATTTCATTACGTAAAATCAACTTTAAACCCTCCTCGATATTTTCCTTCGTCGTAATGTGAAAATTATTTTAATTTCTTAAAATCTTACAATTCGTCAAAAAGTCATCATAAGATTGACTTCTTTTCATATCGAATTATTTTAACCCTTATTCTTCGCTTTATAATCTTCCAAATCCTATTTTTCTACGATATTCATTATTCCTCTATAAAATCACCCCAACATTCTTTTAAACATTTTCAAAATTTATCTCTTCCATCCTCGAAATCCTCCAAAAAATTTTTTCCCAAAATTCCCTCAATTTTTCATCAACCCTCTTTCAAAATTCAATTCCACGGTCCATCTAGTAAGTTTTCACATCCCCACGTTCAATCTCATCCCCGAATTATTATCTAGTGGCGGTTCGTTGAATAATTTCGACGGCCATGAACCGATACTACCGTTGCATCTACCATGAATGGCCTTTTACCAGGATCCTTCAATTATGCAATAAGCGTCGAGTTCGAGAGAGAATCGAGACAAAGCGAAAGCAACTTCCCTCTCCCTCTTAGATTTTACCCGCGTGATCTACAACCCTTTCTCAACGACTGTTGTTTATCGATCCTCTCCAATTCTGAAAAGAAAATTTCCTTCTTGATTAGATTTTTTTTTTTAAATATTTACGTCGAATACGTCGAAACATTTGATGAAATATAAAAGTTAAATTCGAGGAAGAAATTTTAATTCTCGATCGATCGGGATCGAGTGAAATATCATTCACGAACGATTTGTGTGAAACAAATTTTTCAACCCTCGAAGGCACGAATGGTTATTAACGAGACATTCGAGAATCTGAATTGATATGAAATTTGGATTTCAATTAGATAATTCGAGAATCGCGCTCAAGTTCTCATTAGTGTACGAGTATTTATTCGCATCGAATACTATTATTCGAAAATGTTGAATGAGTTTTGATAAAGTGATAGACCGAATAAAAATGTTGAAAAACTTGAACGATGCATATTGAATTAAATCTATCATAGAAATCTACGATCGAAATTATTGTAATTTCTCTATCAAAATTATTAATGCCAATTACAAAAAAAAAGTAATTGAGAGAAGTGGACCACTAGCAAAAATTATAAAAGAAATCTTAATCAAAGATTCAATATCTTATTTGAAAGTTTAATAAAAATCCTCTGAACGAATCTTATCTTACACATAAATTTAGAAAAAAATCTCCGAGTATTAAAAATAAAATCAATTTAAAGAGATTTAAAGAAGAGAAAAAAAAGTAATGCGATAATTAAATTCTACAAATCTACTCTACGTTTATAACCAAGAAAAAAAACAAAACCACTTAAACCAATCATCGAATATGTCCCTCCCTCACCAACCCAGATTCCTCCAGTTTCCAATAACACAATCCGATCAAAGATCGCGCACAACTCTCGATTGGCAAATCCTCCTCGAATTGCACCAAGAAGAAAGAAGATGGAAGAAATTCTACGCCGATGCTACGTATAGATAAAAAGAGGAAATTAAAAAAAGAAAAGAGGGGAGGGGAAAAAACCAATAAACCGCACGTATGAGGCGAGAGCTATATCGATAAATGAATAAGAACCGTGCGATGCAGTCGAATATTGCTTGGAGGGAAACGGAAGAAAAGACGGAGAAGGAAGGCGGGCAAACAAGGGTATTTAAAAAAAAGAAAAAAAAAAAAAAAAAAAAAAAATAGCGCCGTCTCAAAAGGATGCACGCTCTTGTGTTTAGCTCGTGAGCTCATTGTTCCTTTTTCTCCGATAGATCGGCCTCTTCTCAAAGGGAAAGGAATCTTTTCACGCGTAAACGACACGCCTCGGGGCGTGTAATCAAAAAAAAAACTCTTGCAAAGAGTCTCCTTCCTTCTAAAAGGAAAAAGATTTAAGAGAATTGAGAATTGGCTATCCCCGCCTCAATTTTTTTGTCTCGTCGCTAATTATAGCGTTTTCAACGTTTTTACCTCGCTCTTATGTAATACACGTATCTTTCTTTCGTTTGATTAATTAATTATTAATTTCTCGACATCGCCATTTTTCGTACGTGTACTATTATTAAGGGGTTAAATGAAAAACCAGGCTCTTCAATCCAATTCCCCCGATAAACGCAATTCGTTTTGGAATTCTTTTATGGATTTCCTGCTCGATGTTTGCGTACCGTGGATGTTCGATATTATCTATTTACATTGATAAGACTGCATGATTTAATTATCTGACAAATGGCGGCGATACGCGCGTATGCTGCATTTCCTTTTTATCGATGATAGATAATATCGTCTAATGCATTCTAATAGCACCATGAAGGATTTTTATTTTTCTAATTTAAATCGAGTATCTTGTATAAAATTGCAGGAAATACGTATTTATGATTTTTTCGTAAGAAGGATAAAAGCTTCTTTAATCATTCGAATGAATAATTTTGTTTATTTTATTATGGATTTTTTTAATAATTTCAAAGTATATACGACCGATTTCTGAATATTGTCATAAAAATTGTAGCCACGTTTATAATATTTATAATCTTTTTAATTATCTTCTATCTTTTCTTATGACAATCGTATCTTTTTTTTAAATTGCAAATATCGAAGAAAAATTGTTCAATTTCAGTGCATTCACTCGAGATTTCTCTTGCACATAAACGTTAAAAATATATATTTTTTACCTCGAATAACAAACAATTTCAATCTATAATGTACACAGATAAAACAACTTATCAATCTTTAAACAAAAAAAAAAAAAAGAGTTTCTAGTTTAGAGTCTCTATAAAGTTTACATTAACAATTTTCAATCTAAAAATAGATTGTACACTGCACGATACGATAATTGATTGATGCAATGGATTATCACTCTCTGATAAATTTTAAACCTGTGGATTCTTACCCATCGTTGTTACAAATTGAATAACTTTTGTTGCGAAAATTATATCTATCCTTCGTCTGTCAAACAAATGTGTTTGTTTTCTGTGTTCCTTAAAATAACTCAATAATCATCTTCTCCGAACAAAATATATAACCTCTTTCCATCCACTTTATTACACTTTTACAGAATAATTGTACCATGCTGTAAACACGTTTAAAAAATCAATCCCAAAATCTTAGATCAGATTAGAATAGTATAAATAATATATTAAATCCTCCAATTAATGAAAAACTGTAACAGAAAGTGAAAATTTAAACAGATAAAAAGATGGATCCCTCTCCACCTCGCTAAAAGATAAAAACTTGGGAATGTATCTCATTCGACTTTCATGAGACATTTACTATCTTATCGTCTCGAGCCTTGAAACTTAACCGAACGACGAGGATCCAATGGATGGCGAAACTTTAACTTGGGGAGATTAAAAAAGGGAGGGATGGGGGAAAAAAGAAAATAAAGCTCGTCGAGGGCTTTTCGAGAAAAAAAAAAAAAAATTCAAAAGTTCACTCACCGTTCGATCTTGTCCATCGTGGTGGGATGCTGAAGGATGGTTTGCTGTCCGGACATTTCGACCACGCATTGTGTACCGAGTTCCAGCTCTGAAAAAGAAAAATGGCATAGTTAATCGAAATGCGCAAAAAAATAGGGGGATTTAAATTTTAAATAAGCGCGCGAAAAAGAGATTTGGGAAACTTTGTTCGTTAAAAGTAACTTTCTTTGGTTTAAACAATTTAAACTATTTAAATTTTGACAAGTTTCGAAAAATTTTAACAAATTTAAATTATTGTGTGTTACAATTGTGATCGTGTATCACGTGCAACATCATTGTAATTTAATCGAAATTAAATTCGAATTTTATTTCTTTCCTAGTAGTAGATATTAAAATTAATTTTAAAAACTATTCTAAATACCACAACGCAATTTCTATTAAAATTAAACACCATGCATGTAAATTTTGATATCTACGTATCGCAATTCCAATGAAAATATTTGGATAAACAGTAATTTATTTATATTATATTACATATCGTATCGATACGATGAATATTATTACACACAAATAATACAGATTAAAAAGCATAAATATGCTTGAAAAACACGAAATTTGGATTAACTTCTAATTAAATTTTCGTTTCGTTGCTCGAAATGATTCGAAAATTATCCGCTATAATCGAATAAAATGGAAACTCATTATCGACTTCCTCTTTTCATCGACAACTTCTCGTTCGAACAATAGATATTATTTTCTCTGAATCTGTGAATCAGATCTAAAACATTTCCTCTGATTATATCACGATAATATTTAACTATCCTGCCCCCCTCCCCCAGAATATCCCATCAAAGAAATAATATTATGGTTCGCGCTATGAATTCAATTAACAAGATATAATTTTGGTCGCGGTGAGCAATCAAATTGCGGATGTTTATGAATTTATAGAAGAAAATTTGATATTTACGTTGATATAATACTAAAAGATTCGTAATATGTAATTCTATTTGATATTAATAATTTTTCGATCGATTCTTTTTACCATCATCATCATACCATTACACGTTTCTTTTTAATTTTGATTTACATTATCATTCCATTCTCTTTAACACGACAAATATTAATATGTCAAATGTTGCGCTTCTGACGTTATTTCACGCGCATATATACGTACACAGTATACTCGAGAGGATTTATATAATTATAAGCCTCGAACAAGTCAAGCGGAGGCTTAACATTATTCAAAGTGCAAGTTGTGATTGACTGTATGAAACTTAACGATGTCATTTCGTTGTATATCTTCCGTAATAATCTGGAAGAATAATTTATTTCGATTAATTTTAAACGAACAGTTCAAGTCACTGTAATAACAATGACAATATAATTTATCACACAATCAACGAAAGGATTAAATAGATCATTAAATGAATTGATCGTTAAAAGAAACACTGGTCAATGAAGAATTATTGACCAATAATCAAAAATATTAAGGGAAAAAAGAGATAAAACTTTAACCGATTTTATCTCATCAACTAACCTTCTTCTTCTTCGCTTCTTACATTTATCATAACGATATTTTAACGATATAATCAATGTATCGTCAAGTATCAGTATAAGGCGATAACAATCGCGATCTCTTGTTCCATTTCACGCTAATATAAAAAATTCATTCATGTTCTCTCTTTTCATATTCCAAATCTCTCTAACAAAAATTGCAATCCTCCTCGTCTCGAACTGACTGACCAGAGTAAAAATACGTATTCAACAAAGAGGAGAATAAGAAAACAAAGGAAGCCGTATATACCTTGTAATGTATTCCTTCGAGCACGTAATGCTTGTTACATCCACGTAATCGTATCACGCGACAACGGTTCGCGAGTAAACATTCGCGCTTGAGTTATTCAAACAGAACCGTTCTGATCGATCTCGAAATGTCAAAGTTTCCAACCCTCTCTCTTCCTCCCTCCCTCTCTCGTTTCATCGAAATTTGCGATAAAATGTTTTTCTCTTCTCCAATGAAAAAAAAAATCGATGGAACCCATCCATTTTCTAAACGATCGTTTTTTATGCCTCCCTTTCTTTCCAGGTTTATGCAAATAATTTAAATTGAATGGAAAAGGGTGATTGGAAGAAGTTTGGAAGAATCGTGATTTGATGAAGTTTGTCGAAGTTCATGGTTAGAGAGTTGTTGGGAGGCTGGATAAAATTAGTTCAAATTTGAAAATACCGATTGTTTGATAATATGTGTTCGATAGGATTTTATGATTTTGATAATTGGAGTTTGAGAATGTGGAAATTTGTGGAAAATTTTCTTCTCAAATTCTCTTTGATAGATAAAACTTTGGGGTTTTGAAAGTGAAGAATATGGAAATTTTAAGTAACGTTATTTATTTGTAAAAAGTGTTAAACTTATGAGCAACGTTTTAAAAACGAAATTGCATCGAGGTTTTACGTATAATATCGTTAATAGTTAATGTAATATTTGAAAATCTTATGTAAAAGTTACATAAGAAATTTTGTTAAACGAACGCAGTTATTCAATTTTATAGAAACAAGTTTATCTCAAGATATTCTCGAGATGGTGTGTTTGAACCACTTTTATATGCATTTTCTGAAGACGATAATCCACGATCAATCTTCTTTCTACGAAGGTATTATAATTTCACTTTCGCTGTGAAAGTTCCTCCTCTTTCCCCCCCCCCCCCGAAAAACCAAAGTTCTCTAATCCATTATCACTTCCGATAACTTATCTATAAATTATATCATGCGATATATAATTCATCATTATAAATATCAAAAAATGATTAGAAGAAAAAAAAAATGAAATTGATATCGACGTAATAAATAACTACAAAAATCTCTATTAATAAAAAGAAAACTTATCACGATGTATCGAATGTATAATCCAAATCCCAATATTTTTTATTAGAAAAAACGAAGATGATTGATAAAACCCGTGTATAACCCTACTACCTAGATATCACAGAAAATTCTATATACTGTTCGAATTCAAAGAACAATATCAATAATCAAAAACCAAATAGATAAAAAATAAAAATACGGATCCTAAAATGATATTCGATACACTCGAGAAAGAACGAAGGAACAAATGGAAGGAGAGATGTGAAAGGCAGGAGAGGAACGATACGAAGGGGAAGCCATGCATGGGACAACGTCTTATGACAGCCACGAGTCATAACGCTCGTAACATTCAACTCCCCGCGCATACGTAATACCGCGTGTAAGGCGGTAAATCCATACTAAGCGATCGACCTTAGCGTTCTTCTCCTCCGCCTTAGTCTTTATTCAAACGCGTATATATACATATATATCCAACTTACATGCATATCGATCGATGCGCCACAACGTGTTACGTGTTCATTCATGACTCGATTCCACGCCTCCGCTCAAACATTCTTCCCTTCATCGCGAATCGAAATCTTTGAAAAACGCTTCTTTAAAATTATCGTGCAGAATAATATAATACGCATAATTATAATATTTCGAACACGTCGTTGATTATGAATTTCGTATCAAGGCTTTGTTGCTGTTACGAGGAAAAGATGTTGTGACGAAAAATAAAATATAAAAAAACGCGAGAATTATATATATATATATATATATATATATATTTATCGATCGTTCTTTAATCCAATTGCCTGATCCTCATGCATTTTAACGGCGCGGATAAGAGGTTGAGCGCCGATTAGAATAGTCGATCGTCGGTTCTTTCGAGTGGATCGTCACGCGGGATCGGCACGTTCCTCCTCCGTGACAAAGGCAATTAGAGAAGTTCTAAGACGACGATCGGTATGCGTGGACACGCTCGATAAATCATTGCGCGACATCGCGCGCGTCAACCCTGGCGTCAATGGACACACACGGATGGAAATGTCAATGGACGTGGTGGGCGTTACGAGCGGAATTGCGTGGACTTTCGATCTGTTGATTCCTGTAACGATTGTGTAACGTGTAAGGTGTACAGTATCCGAAAAAAGTATGTATAGAGTTATTAAGAAAAAAGTTATATTCGCGGTATTATTCGAGGTATTTAATTCGTGATATATTTTTGTTTATTTAAAAAGCTAAGGTTTTGTAAATTTTTTTTGTAAATTATGTGTAACAGAAAATGTATGGAAAATTATGGGAGAATTGTATTGTTGCAACTGTATATATGCTTTTTCCAGATACTGTATGCGTTATTTATAGGTGTCGAGATAAACAGTTTTCGTTTTATGATGCAATCGTGGAAAATTTAAATGAAACTCTTATGGCTGGCTAATTATAATGTAAATTATATATAGAAAATATGTATTTGGTGTAAGATACGTAATAAAATTGTATTGAGAAACTTATATTGCTCAATTTTATATGAATATTTAAATTTGGGGAAAATACAACAAATGCTTTTGGAACAGAGCTCCTTTTGAAAGGAGCTGCGAATTTGAAGACTTTTTTTTCTTTTTTTTGAATTCTAGGCTTGACAATTTTTAAGAATTCAGGGATTATGAAATAAATTTTCCTAGCACGAAGGGAAAAATATTTCCCATAAGAATCATCGTAAATGAAATAACCACTCGTAACAATGTTGAAATTAACATAAGAAAATCTGATGAGAATAGGAAAAAAAATCTCATGAATAGAATTAAGATGAAATAGAATACAATTGAGATGACGAATGTATCAAGTTTCGTTGCATAAAATACGAACCTTGTATGTAGAGAGAATAATTATAAATTATATTATTTATTCTCGCGTGAGATATGGAGAGAGAGAGAGAGAGAAAGAAAAAGAGAGAAAAGAGTGATGAAAATTTTATCATTTATCAAATTATATATTTTTTTCATGTTTCGAATGTTTTTTTTTTTTTAGATAAAAATGAGTCGCAGGAAATTTTCCATGAATATCATCTCTTTTATTTTGGAAATTTACAAAGTTATATTATATCATTCTGTTTTATATAACAGATATATTTAGAATTATATTTAATTCGATTTCATTTTATTTCTTTATTTATAGATATTTCTATTTTAAAAAATTTTGAAATCTCTTTTTACGATACGAATTAATTAATAAGATTTAACTCGTTAAGAAATATATATAAATTTT